TCTGAAGGCGGTGGCACCCGAGGCCGTTGCCGAAGTCCCCATTCAGATCCCCATGCCGAGCTTCGAGTCGAAATTCATAGGCTGCCCCCCCGGCACCTTTAATGATGGTCGGTCGGTTGAACAAGCAAGACCTGCAGCGAAGGCTGGCAACTCACGCCGATTGATTGACGGTTGTGTTCTCTCTCTCTCTCTCTCTCTCCGTGTGTGTGTGTGTGTGTGTGTTATGTATGCAGGGCTGGAGTGCAGAAACTGCTCCGCCAACACCTTCTCGGACACGACAAATGCCACTCGGTGCGAGTTCTGCCCTCCCGGTATGAAAGGCCTCCAGAGACACGGATGGTCCCCCTTTGCATAAATGGCTTTCACACACTCGCCGCGTGCATGTATGTATGCGTCCAGGCCAAGGTCAGCCACTGGAGGGCCAGACATCGTGCGAAGTCTGCCCGGTTGGGTATTTCAACCGCCCACGAGGAGCAACAACAGGTGTGACAGGCGTGTGCTTTTGCACAGACAGAGTCGCTAGAGCATGTTCGCGGCCTTTGCCCTTCTTTCCCTTCCTGGGGACTGATGTTCGACAGGAGTTGGAGCAAATGATGATAACGGCGAAGGCGGCTGCAGACCTTGCGAAGTAGGAGAGTTTTCGAATCAACCGGGGACAGGGATATGCGAAAAGTGCCCTCAAGGCACCTATCAGGTGGGTGGCTAGGTGGCCACGGCCCTTAGCTAGCTCGATTGTTCCGAGGAGTGGTAGCGACAGTCAATTATACCTTTTTGAATAAGTACGTATTCTGATGTGTGTCATACTTCTGCCGTATGTGCATGTGTGTGAAAATTCACTTTCTGCAGGATGAGGAGGGACAGAAGCAGTGCAAGCCATGTGGATACACGGAGACGACCAAGGAGACGGGGGTCAGGTCCAAAGACGGCTGCTTGTGCAGAGCAAATTACTACCGCACGGAAATCTCTCGCCGTGCCCCGAACTCGACTGCGGCATTCGTCCGGGGAAAATGCGAAAAGTGCATCGAAGGTCTCACCTGCGAAGGTACTTAGTCGGCCAAAAGCTGGGCTAGCTCAGGATACTGATACTGAATATGATCAGATCGCAACACGCTAACTTCTTCTGCCGTTCACGCTGTGACGTACAGGGATCCGTGACGATTTCGTGGATGATTTTGTGGTTGATGTCGGTTACTGGGTGCCACGAGTGGAGAACGGTGAGCCCCGAACGCGGCTGGAGGTGTATCGATGTCTCCCAGCGAGATCCTGTCCGGGACAGCAGCCGGGGAGCTGCGTTGAACACAGACGTGGTGCGGTATCCATAGCATACATAGCATGTCGCGCATATACTGAACATGAAAAAACAAGTAACTCACCCACCGATGTGCTTGTGCATGTCCGATGGGGTTGCAGGATTCGTGTGTGGCCGCTGCAGAGAGGGCTATTTCCCCAACATATCTGCTCGACACAGGTGCGCGGCGCACAGACCATCAGCTCGTGAGTCACTCAGGCAGCGGCCGCGCCTACACGCGATATGCTCGTGGGCAGTAATCACGACCATTTGTCGCTCGTTGCCAGTCAATAAACGGGTCCATCCACTCGTGTTGATTCGTGTGTTGGTATTTGTCCACCCGTGGGCTGATCGATTTATGCATATAATATCTCTATCTGGCTGGGTGCAGGTGTCAGCGATGCAGCGACGACCGCGTGGGCCCTGTGCTTTTTCTTGTCGTGGTCATCGTTGGCGTGGCGGCCCTCTTCATGTGGATCGTCAACAGTCCCAGGTTCCGAGGCGCCGAGTTTCCCGCCTTCCTGGTAGTCTTCACGCAGCAGGTGGCCGTCATTCCTACCTTCAACATCAACCTCCCCTCCGGCCTCTCGCGCACCTTCGACGGTATGAGCTTCTTCTTCGTCGTGTCGCCCAACTTTGGCCTCTCGTGTCTCGGCCTCAATGACTTCGAGCAGCAGCAGGGCATGATCCTCTGTGTCCCGCTGCTTGTCATTCTCTCGTTCATCCTCTGCTGGGCTCTCTCACAGGTAAAAACTTGCTCGCACTGTCCATCGCACAGACAATCGGCTGGCAGGCATCGACGCATCGATTTCCTTCCTCTTCCTGTGCTGTGCCATGCTTCTCTCCCTGTCTCTGCACCAAGATCGTGCCCTATGTCTCGCCGACAGGGCAGATTCAGTTGCTCCGATACTACAACACAGAGATCACTCTGAAAGCACTCAAATGGAACACGGTCGGTAATCCTGCGGCCACTCACGCACGGCACGCGACTCATCTAACAGCTGCCTGTCTTCGGGCTGTGCTGTGGTGTTTGTTTGCTCATTCAGGTGCCGGCCTCCATAGTAAACCTCCTGTACACTTTCCTCATCGCCATCGCCAAGATCGCCTTTGTGCCCTTCGACTGCTATCAAGTGACTGACCAGCCGCCACGATGGCTCTGCTTTCCCTCTCTTCGTTCATGTCTATCGTCATGTATGTCGTGTGCATGTGTGGATCCTTTAGCATCCCAACGGCCAGTGGAGCGTCCGGGAGTACCCCTACATTCTGTGCTACAACGACGGCGCCGCCCGATGGAAGCGCTTCAGCGACCTGAGCCTTGCGGGCTTCTTCTTCTACACGTTTCTGGCGTTCGGTGTTGTCATCCGGTTTGCATGGCTCTTCCCCAAAAAGAGGGAGAACCCAGGTCAGCGAGCGGGCGAGGGCGTGAATGGGTGAGTGGATGAATGGAGATGTGACGGGTAGCCTGTTCTGTCTGTGTCCACACAGCGTTCATTGCTGTGTACGAGAACCTGATCGACAAGTACTCGACGGACAAGATTTGGTGGATAGGCGTCTGGATGTCCCGCAATCTGCTCATCGCTCTCGGCACCGCCATTCTGCCGAACCTCGGCCTGTACCAGATTGCCTTCTCGTCGGGCGTCGTTGTCACATACCTCGTACTCGTGGTGGGTGGGCAAGCGAGCGAGGAGGCAATCCTTCGTTCGTCTACTCCACCTTCGATGATCGATGATCGATTGATTGATTGCTGGCCGCCCTGTCCCCTCTTGTCTGTCCCTTTGTGTGTCAGCAAGTGTATCATCCCTGGAAGCGGCAGACGGACGTCTACATGGACCGGTGGCTCAACATATTCTTTCTGCACATCCTCTCCATCTGTGCGCTCCACGTCGACCCCACTGAGGCCAACCACAAGAGCGATGCCGAGCTTGTCCTTGGTTAGTTTGTTGCAGAGGCTGTTGACTGATTGATTGATTGGTCGATTTGTCTGCAGTGATTGTAGTCTTGCTGGACGCCGCCTTCATTGTGGGCTCCATCCTCACAACAATCGTGAGTGAGACCCCAAAAAAGCCGCCCTTCTCCTTGTTCTCGATCACCCCATCACTCATTTATTGATTCATTCGTTTTGCTCCATGAGCATATGGCTGTCCGTATATGTGTGTGTGTGTGAATGCAGCGCGTTCCCAAGCGGAAGATGGGCCACTATTCGCATGTGCTGCCATTCAGGATCACCGGCACAGATGGAGGCACATTTGAAGAAGCCAATAAGCCAGCCGGTGACCGGCCCGGGACAGCCACCGACAAACAGCAGCTGGCGTCGTCCACCAGCCGACCAGACGTGTTCCTCAACCAGAACAGCGTCTTCAATGTCATCATGAGCGCTCTCTCCCAGGCCTCCGGCTACTCAACGGAGCGCAGGGATGGACCCAAGATCGACCAACATGCCAGAAAAGACCAAACCGATCCTCTTCCGGGCGCCAAGCAGCGAACTACGCCTCCCGCCGCTCTTGACGAAGACAAGTCTCATGAGGCACCAGACGCTGGGAGGCACGAGCCTCCTCAGCCAAATCCCAGGCAAGACACCACAGTGCAGCCAGACTTCGGCCTGACTGCTGCAGAGGACGACATGTTCAGTCCCTCAGAGCTCGGTCTGTCTCCCGACGACTTTGCCCCCGACATTTTGGCGGGCTCCCTGTCCTCAGCTTGCGATAAGGCACTGGAAGAGGAGAATGCAGCGGAGGTGATTCAGCTGAGCCGGATGCACACAGCAAGGGCATCGATACGCAGCCGCTTCTCCCTCACACCCGCCCCACCGGTGTCAGACCTCTTCCTCTCGCGCCAGCCGCACGAGCGCCTCCAGGACCACCATGCCACGAGCCCGGCAGCTGACAGTGATGTGCGAGCAGAGGGTGACGTTCTTGATGCGGCCTCTTCGCCCTCGCCGATCCCCTTCCACATGACTCTGCCCAAGAGGAGACAAAGCTCTTCCTCAGGTACGTACGCAGCCAAAGCACAGAAAACGGGGAGACATGAATGAATGAATGAATGAATGAATGGAGAGAGACCTAAGCATAGCATGAGCCGGTCATCTGTCTGCATTGCCTGCAGGCGGTGATCGTGGAGGGGGGACTGTGTCCGAGACACCGATCGACAAATGGACGCCGAAGAAGGCCATCAGTACCTTCACACCCCAGCTCACGGCGCATGGTGATGAGACCCATAGGGACATGCAGTTCAGTGAAATGTTCTCCCCCGAAATGGAGAATGCTCTCGATGCCTCGTGTGCGGCGGCCTTCGGGGGCGACAATACCATCAACGAGATGCTCTCACAGTCATCCCTCTTCGTGCACGCCCCCGGCGGGACACCAAGGAGCGCTATCACAACCTTTGGCCGCCTCAGATCCAGCAACGACAACAAGGATCGGCTCGACAAGAGCACCCTGCACTCAGTGCAGGAGGAAGAACAGGAACACGACTGACTAATGATATCGATCTCTGCATCTACACGCACATATATACACTCAGTCAAACCCCATCCACTAGGCCCTGCCTGTCTGCCTGTCTGCCCGTCTGCCCAGTCTTTCGTTGTGGCCAGAAGGCAAGGGCTGCTTGCGATGTGTGTCCGTCTGTGTTTGTCTCTGCGCATACATCTGTGTGCCTGCTGTGTCATCGGCTTATGAGGGTTCGTCATGTGCCGGGACGCGCGGATTGACGCCTCCCGACGAACCGTCTTGATGAGCACACGCTTGTTGCTCATATGATGTGTGTGTTGGTCTGTCTGTCTGGTGTCTCTGCTCTTCGTCCAGTTCCCCATGGTCGACGCTATGTCGTCACATGCCGTCGCACGGTGACCGCATGAATGGATAGACACCAATGTACATATATGAACCGTGTGGGCCGGCTGCGTGTTCCAGTCAGGCTTTTGCCCAGCTGTGTGGCTGCTCTATGTGACGGACGGGCTGATTGTTTGTAGATGAGGTGTGGAAGCACGCCCCGTCCGTGTAGACCCCATCAGTATGCACGTGTACATGGTCAGTTGTATTGATTCATTCGATCATTCGTAGCATGCATGATCGAATGTGTGTAGTCCATCGATACATATATCGCTGGCTTAGATACCTTACCTAGCAACACACTGGTGAGACACGCGTCTGTAGGAAGGGTTGGGTGGCGGATGGTAGACCATATATCTCTTCTGGTGACCTGGCTGGCCGCACACTGACTGACAGACTGACTGACTGACCGACTGACTGACTCGTTTGTCGATGGCCATGTAACACGTTCTCACGAGAAACAGACTCCTTCTCATTGAAACAGACTCGAGAATAGCCAGGGAGTGAATGAATGAGTCAACGAATGAGTCATTCACTCCACTGTGAGACTCTGAGACCTCTTTGCAATGGTGAATGGATGAATGAATGATATCGATTGAGTGATTGGCCATCATTTTGTAGACAGCGTGTCGAATGCTTCCATGTGTTCGTACCTGGCCATAGCAGCCCAAAGAGCGAGAATGAGTCGGTGGTCGCCTGGTCCACACATGCATGTCTCCCGTTAACGTTAATTAACATTGAGAATGGCCATGCAGTGAATGAATGAGCGAATGAACGAATGAGTGAATGAATGATTCACTCTTGGACTCTTTGCAATGATGAATGGATGAATGGATGAATTAATTGATTGATTGATTGATTGCATGCATATGGATAATTGATTGAAATGATGAATCACGCTTGGCCGCCACATGCGACACACGTGCACAGGAGCTCTTCCTTGAGCTCTCCTATTGTACATAAGTGATGATCAGTCCGACACTACCACTCCCATTGTACATCAGTATACACATGTACATATACCTCTACTAGCCCTTGACGAAACCGCATGTATGTACTTATGGTATGTACAGGTAAGGTATGGCAGGTATGCTACCCGTATACATGTGTATGAACCCTTTCGTCATTCGCCGGACCGGCAAATGACGAAAACCACGTCCGCCTCCCCTGCCTTCCATTCAGTCATGTGTAGGCTTACCCATGCTTTTGAGTGTCAGATCGGCCTCCCGGCGGACCGCCTGTCGTCATCGGGTCCTACCCAAACCCGAATTCAAAAGCCGTGAGTATCGGTACATTTGGGCCCGACCTTTATGTATACAGAATCCATACATGTACATTTTCGTGACGCGCGGCACCACTAGCTTTACGTGAGACACATGATTGCTTGTTGCTTGGTGCTTGTTGCTTGTTGTGCGTGTGCGTGTGTGTGAGTGTAAGTGATATCGGTGGGTGGATGGATAGATGAATGGACCGGTGCGAGCGTTGGTGATGCATGTCAACATTCATCCATTCATTCATTCGTTCTGTGTGTGGGTGTGAGTTGCCTTGGACTGCCTGTTGAAGCACATGCATCGCATTCATTGTGATGATTCACGGAGAGGCTGCGGAGAGGCATGTGGTGCTTGGTTGTCTGTGTCGGTCGGGCGGTTGATTGCCCTCATGCGTCAATATTCATATCGTTTTGTCCCCCCACTCAATCGTTGACTCATTCGTTGACTCATTCATTCACTCTGGCTATTCTCGAGTCTGTTTCAATGAGAAGGAGTCTGTTTCTCGTGAGAACGTGTTATGTGTCTGTCTGTTTGGCACCTTTGTATTGTCTGTGCCGGAAGCGCACCCGTACACGTGTGTTTGTGTGGTGTGCACGTCTGACTGTCGGCCTTCCCTCCCTGCCTGCCTGTCTGCCTGCCTGACTTCCTGCTTGTCTGTCTCCCGTGGCTTTTACTTATTCTTGTGTGGCTCCAACGGCGGCATGATTGACTTGATGGCGGCAGACCACCGCACATATACGTCGAGACAGCCTCTTAAAGCATCTGTTGAACGGTATCGGCATGCAATGCAGACAAAGCACCTTCCGTGGCTTCGTTCCCTCCTTTGTCTTGCCTTTGTCTTGCCTTTATCCCTCTCCGTCTACAGTCCGGACCGCGTAAGTGGGTCAGTACATAGCTGGCCCACTTACGCGTCTGACCCGCTTATGCGTACGTACAGAGCTGACCCACTTATTTTCCAGCGGCTTTTGGAGTGATATCTCGCTGTGAATGAATCACAGGAGCCTCTCAGAAGCCCGTTGACTCTTTTTTTCTCGCTCAAAGTCACTCAAAACGACGAAAACCGTCTGTTCTCTCATTCATTCAATCTGATTCAATCAGTCCTTGGATGGCTGCGAGAGCCCTTGCATGTCTCCGGATGTTTGATTCATCGTTGATCTCCACACACGCCACGCAAAGTGATGCAGCGTGAGTGATTTTGCAAGAAGATTCGTCATTGACACATGCACTTGGCGTCATCAACCGTGTCTGATGGGCCATGACGGCACAAAAGGCATGAACAGCAGGCATCACAGCAAGCAAATCACACAAATCATGCCGCCCCGCCGCCTGCAGCGTGAATGCATCAGTCGAAATGATCATCAAATCGCGTCGCTCGCGCGGTGGGTGGATGGATGGATGGGTGGGTGGGTGGGTGAGCCGTTGGGTGTAAGGGGAGGGGAGCGAAAGGCAGGGGAGGGAGACTGGCCGGTGACATCAGCCCCGCACAAAGGTGTGGGCTGGATGAATGTCATCAGATGCCACACATACACCCATGCAGGTTGGTACCAACCCCTATATGTACACACGCAGCCAGGGAGGCAGGCAGCCAGGCAGGCGGACAGACAAGTGGCCAGGGTCTGATCGATCGCTCATCCTGCCCGTGTGCTGTGCCTTGCTGCATTGGCCAGCACATGTCTGGCCGCCCGCTGCCCCGACAGCCAGGCGCCCGTCACACACTGGTGGCCCTCGCGGGACGTCGCCTCACCTACCACCATCACCAATCAGGACATTCAACACCCTCCAGGCCACCTAGCTCGCCTGTGGCATGGGCTGCCTGCCTTGTGGTACCTGCTAGGGTGAGGTGTCCGTCGTATTCGGGCGACGACAGCTCCACAATGTCGGCCTCATCAGAACCCTGCACCAGTGACACATGAATCCGGGTATCTCTCTCGGCGTCTGTGTGACACTGTGTGACCTACCTTTGCGATGTAGCTGTAGCTGCCGAGTGCCTCTGGTTCGGTGTCCCAGTGGGTGACCTTCCAGTCCAACAGACGGGGCAACACATCTACGCCTTCACCCTTTAGATGTGCACACATAAAGAACACTGACGCACACATGCACACCTGAGCACGGCTCTTTGTGGTTGTGTTGGTGTGGTGTGTTGTGGGTACCAGGTGTTGCTGCAGGTGCTTGAACATGGCGCGAAGCACATCCAAACACTCGTCAACCACCTGATCGGCGGACGCCAACACACACAGAGAAGACTTAGCTGAGAGAAGTACGGGCCACCCGTCCGTGTATCCCTGCCCACCGACCGACGGACGGACCTGTTTGTCGTCTTTGCCGCCGTATCCGATGGACAGCGGGGGGTACACTTGCACACACAGAGTGCCGCGCTTCCCTGCACACACGCACACGAAGACACACACAATGCCACACACAGATGGATGGTCGGATGGATGAATGGATGGACACACCGGCCTCCCCTGTCAGCCAGCACACCGTATGGGTGTAGGTTGAGTATCTGCATGGGATAGTCGGCCTTTGTGGTGGCGATGTTGACACGGCTGCCGTACTCACGCCAGAAGGGGTGCTCACTATTACCACTGCCATGGTCGGTGCGGCCTCCTCCGCGTGTGGTAGCGAACCGCAGGAAGATCTTGTTGTGTGTGCCCATCCCCAGCCGCCCGATGGACGCCCGCTTGGCCGCTGACAAAGGTGGATCGAACCTCACCAAACTGACACACACATATGCAGAGAGGCGTGGCAGGACGGCTGCAAATTGCAGCACAGGGTGAGGTGGGTCTTTACCTTCTCTGCAGTGTGTCGCTTTGGTCGATTTGGTGTTGTCTGCTGTGGCACTTGAGAGAGGCCTGCAGCACGCCGAGCGGCAGAGCGGCCACCACATACCGACAACGATAGACCTGGCACACACACACACACACACACACAGTCCATCCATCGACGCGTTCGGCTGTCCTCTGTCCGTTCCTCCCTCCCCTCTCACCTTCTTCGACGATTGTGAGGCGGGGGCCAGGGTGATCTCCATCTGGCCGTGCCTTCTGTCGGCGTGGTACGCCACTCTCGACACACGACAGCCGTAATGCACCTCACCACCTCCCTCCGCGATCTCGCCAAGCAGGGGCTCGATGACGAGCTTGCCGTACCCATTGGCTACCAGCCAATCGCTGCGTGTGTTGTTGGCCTCGTCCATGTCAGGCACTCGGTGGACAGCGAGAGAGCCGCTTGGCGGCGGCTTGTGGGCTTCGTCCAGGAGGTTGTCAGAGTGCTCCCGTAGGTACGCGTCTCGGTCGCTGGCGAGGAGGGCACTCTTGTCTGTGGCGGTGAGGCGCCTGGCGTGTTTGTCGCGGGCGCCTTGCGTGTCCGAGCCGAAGCGGTCCTGCCAGTCCACTGTACTGGTGGTGCCTGGGTGACGACAACCGTGGCGTGCTGAACCCATCCGTCACACCCACCCAGCACACACACACAGACACAGAAAGAGGGAAAACGGTGAGCCATCTGTCGGTGGCTTTGCCTGTCTATCAGGTGGTCTGTCTTACCGTCCAGGTCGGCTGGCGTCGCGCACCTGCCCCACGAGCGCATCTTCATCTTGTCGATGATCCGCTCATCCATTTCATCCCAGTCGCCCGCGCCCCCGTAGCCCAGCCGCTGACGCACCACAGGCAGGTACTTGCGGAAGACACTCTCCAGGTCCGCCGCATTGTCGGCCATAGCCAAGCCACACGAGATGTCGCTGTGGTAGCTCCGGGCGCCTCTGTTTCTCTGACGGGCGGACGCGATGGCCTTGTCGCAGTCCATTGGCTGAGCATCCTCACTGACACCAGCCTCCCCTCCGTGTGCCGGCTGCTGGTGCTGCTGCTGATGCTGCCCTTCCGACGCCCCCAAAGGCTGAGCGATGCCCCTTGAATCCGCGTTATCGTGCTGAGAAGCCTCCTTGTGTTGCTCTAGGTGCGCCATTGCCTGCCGCAGGCTGTCGCGGATGCCGGCGCGGGTGAATGGGCGCCTGACCAACCCGATGACAGCGTCGCCTAGCTTCCAACCGAGGTCCTTCCGCATGTAGGTCTTGTGCAAGGTCAGGGTGGGGTGGCCGTGTCGCTCCAGCTCCTCTCGGGCGAACTGCACCGCCCACTCGGTGTCCATCATCAGGTTTGGACCGTCATCGACGCTGTCCTCGCCAGCATCTCCCGGCTGCATGTCGACATCCATGGGCTCGGACCTCTCAGCAGCAGCAGCAGCAGCAACAGCAACAGCAGCAGCAGCCTGGCTGCCACCACCATCGGCCCTGCGGTTGCACACCTGTCGACTGTCGGCCTCGTCAGAGAGGAACATGGAGTCCCGAAAGACGACGGCCAGCTGGACGCTCCGACGGAGGGAGGCAGGGGTCCATGGCCGTTCGACGGTCACGTAGAATCTGTGTTTGCCGGTGCTGAGGACGAATGTGAAGGACCACCGAATGACCTGGGCGTCAGGCCTCGAATTTGGTGAAATGCACGATGCTCGACCGCCCTCCGAGGCACGAATGGCCGACATCTCCTCCTGCAGAAACGCCAGCGCATTCTGGAAATCCAGCTTGTCGGCCTTCTTGTCCGACCCTTCGGCGTCCTTTCCCTCCCTC